TGGGCTCTCTATTCTGTTCCATTGATCTATGTGTCTGTTTTTGTGCCAGTACCATACTGTCTTGATGATGACAGCTTTGTAATAGAGCTGGAAGTCCAGAATTGTGATGTCACAAGCTCTGCTTTTCTTTTTCAACATTCCTCTGAAAAATGCCAGATTTCTTTTTAAAACAGTTTGATCATTCTGCATTTTTACCAAGAAATAAAAAGAGTGCCAATTACTCCATATTTTTGCCTGTATTTGGTATTATAAGTCTCTGTCATTGTATCCATTCCTATTGGTCGGCATAAATATCTCATTGAGGTTTTAATTTGCAGTTCCCTGATGATTAATGAATGATATTGAACATCTTTCACAATTGAACATCTTTCACAGGCTTATGGCTCATTAATTTGGTTTCTCTTAAGTTCCCTAGAAATTTTGTTTAGCCTTGACATTTAAGTCTATGCTCTAATTCAGTTTTTCTGAATAAGGGCTAAAATTGATTTTATTTCATGTGAATATCAAGTATTTTAGCACCACTCATTGAATAGGTCATTCTTTAGTCTTTCAAAGTCTTTATTAGCACCTTCGTGGAAAATCAATCAGCCAATAGCATGTGGGTGTATTTCTGATCTATTCTGATCTACTGATCTATATGTCTACATTTATATCAATAACACAATATGCATCTCTATAGCAGGGGTCAGCAAACTATGGCCTGAGATATGGCCACCTGTTTTATAAAAAATATTTTATTGTTACAGAGGCATACCCATTTGTTTATACATCCTCTATGCTCTCTTCATGCCACAAATGTTGAGTGAAGTAGCTGCAACAGACCATCTGCCCCACAAATCAAAAATATTTACACTCTGGCTCTTTAAGAAAAAAATAATGTAAGTCCTTCATCTTGTTCTTATTTTTAAAACTATGAGAGTAGTTTGCATCACTCTTTATAAAATTGAGAACAATTTCCACAAAAGTGTTTTCTGGAATTTTGTTTGGGATTACACTGAATCTACAGATCCATTTGAGGAAAATAAATATTTTAACCATATCAATTTCTTTATTTCTTGTGACCTTGCTAGACTTTCTTATTAGTACTGATAACTTTGGTGGAGATTGTTTAAAATTTTCTATGTACCGAGTTAGGTCACTGAAAAAAAAAAAGGACATTATTTTTCTTTCAAAACAGTATGCCCTTTATTATTCTTTTTCCTATTGAACTCTCTAGGAACTCTAGGAAAAAAGTTTGCTAGAAATAGTGAGGGCAGACAGCCTTGCACTATTTCTAATCCAACAGGCTATTTTAGTCAGTTCATGCTCTAATAAATATGCCATAAACGAGGTGGCTTAAACACTTACTTCTCACAGTTCTGGAGGCTAGGAAGTTTAAGATCAAGGCACCAGCAGATGTGGCATCTGGTGAGAGCACTCTTCCTACTTTGCAGATGGCTGTTTTCATTTTTTATGCTCATGTGAGGGGGCACAGAGAGATCAAGGAAGTTTTCTACATCCTAGTTTTTATCATGAATGGGTGTTGAGTTTGACCAAATGATATTTTTGGAACTATCAATATGGTCCTCTGGTTTTCTACATAAATCTGTTAAATTGTTTCATTTCTGTTTTGCTGTACTGGCTTAAAGCATAGTGCCTCAAAGTTCCATACATACTGTAGTCTCAAAATTCTTGAAAAAGTACAAATGGTTTTATACTATAATGGCAACTTGACTAGATAAAAAAATTGTTGGGATTTTTATGCCATCCAGAGAAGCTGTTCTATGCATCCTACATATACATTATGCACTATCTTATAAGCACTTCATTTGGCAAAGGCTAAAGCCAGTCTGTTTCTCTACTTTTATGGGTGACTTTGAGACCAAGATGCCTTTAAGATTGTTCTTTATTTATTTATAAAGTCTAATATATTAATCATATTATATCTCAATGTTGCCAGTTTTTTATTGTTTCTTAAGATTTTTTTTTTTAATTCAGGACATTTTTTCAAAAAAAATATTCTTTAATAATGTGGAATATCTTGGGTGTACTTTATTCATTAATGACATTTTTATTATCTTGAATTGCCATTATCAGTCTTTCATACTCAGTTATTCAGGGTTTCCCAGAAAAACAGGACCAGTAGGATGTGTATGATTATTTCTTCTAATTAAATTTATTATAAGGAATTGAATCACATAATTATGGAGGTCAGTATGTTCAAAACCTGGAAAGAAAAGGCCAGTAGGCTGGAAACCCAGTGAGAATTGATGTTGTACTTCAGGTCTAGAAACCATCAGATTAGAGACCCAGGGTGAGCTGATGTTACAGTTTCAGTACAAAGGTAATCATCTGGAGAATTCTGTCTTACTAAAGAGGTGGTCAATCCTTTTGTTTCATTGAGGACTTCACCTGATTGCATAAGGCCCATCCACATTATGGAGGACAATCTGCTTTACTCAAAGTTCACTGATTTAGAATTAACTTATTCAAAAACACCCTCACAGGAATTCCCAGAAAATATAACCATCTGGGCAATGTAGC